ACTCACTGCGGATCCAGACATTTGATTTGAGAAAGCTTCCTGGAGAGGTGGCGAAACGTCTTCAAATCTTGGAAACCAAGTCCGGTGGATATTTTTTGAACTTTTACGGAATTTTAATTTGACAAAAGTAATTATTAATTGTAAATGAACAAATTAAAGTCAGATATGACTTTTCAAACAAGTGTCAATAGAATGACTTCTAGAAAATCAACTATTTTATTTAAATAATTTTAAATTGAAATTGGTCCTTTGTTTTTCAAGGGTAAACACCAGTGAAGATTCCTTAAAATATGGATTGCATCTCATTTCAAATGATTATAAAAGATTTGTCCAACAAATGTTGAAATGTTTGAATTGTGTATTTTCTCTTATCCACAAAGGATCAGGATTAAATTTACAGTAAAGACTCACATATCAGTTTAAAACATATATATATATGGTGTGGTGTCAGTAAGGCTATTAAAATAAAATGATATAAAATGAGAAATTAACAGTTTAAGCCCTGACTCTTTCCATGTTTAAATATTTAGATATATTTTATAAAGAAATATTTTGTTATAGTAATGTACTGTGCATTTCACAATCTGTTATAAAGTCTATTTTAAATTCTTTTAGATCTGAGTTTAAAAATTATCCTTGATGTAACTCTTAAAGAAAAAAAGTATCTATAGGCAGTGTAAACATTATTGAATTGGTAAAGCTGACTGAATTTTTTTTACAGTTTTTCTAGTGATACCAATAATTCAGAACACATTGACACCACGGTTTTACATACTAATGTACTAAATCACGCAGCAGCATACAGATCAATCTTAAGGGTGGGGCATGGATACAATGTAAACATGGCATAATAGGTTTATCTGAAAATGCCATGTTACCTGTTTTAATACATTTACCAAAAGCTGGATTAAATCTAGTAACTAAACCATTGAGCCGGACATTTCAAACTCTAGACTTGTTATGTTATCCATACCTTCAACAGTTTTTAATATAAACCATAAATATAATTTGAAATTCAACCTACCAGTTCTTAAAGCAGCATATAACTATCTATAATAAGTGAAAGTTAACATAGGACATATCTAAAGGGGAGATATACATTTGATTCACTTTTATCATTTTCATACAGTGTCGTGATTTCTTTGGACTTCTGAGGGTGAATACCAGCTTATTAACTTTTGCCTTAATTTTCCTTTTTAATATTTTCAAGCATGTGTTAGCATAAAACGCTGAAGATGGACTAACATTCGTAACTTCTGAGTTACATGCTTAAATGGAGTCTTCTATCAAGATAACATAATGTTCTGTTTCCACCAGAAAGAGTCCTGAACCCCTATTAGGACCAGCTTTTAGCTGATTACCAGGGAAATGGCTGTTAGAGATTACTTTTCATCACAAGGCAAGGAGAACTACTGTCATGCTGAATA